TTTTTTACCATTTTGTTCATGTTTTTCCAAAAAAATTTTTGTTTTAATTTATTTATGCATCTCTTAATTCCACAATGTCCTCCATGTAGAGATTTGTGATATTCTTTTATTAATCTGAGCATTTCTTTTGTATCTTCTATTCGTTTCGGTGGTGTATATATAATTATGTCTAAACTTTCTTTGAATTTTAATTCATTTTGCAGCTTATTAAATATTTCTTTCAGTTCTTGCAAGTTTATTTCATTTAATATTTCATCATTTTCTGCTAACGCTAGATTTGTAATTTTTAAGTTGTTCATTTTGAATAATAACTTCTTCAGAATCAATTTTATCTCTGATAATGATTTCTCGTTGTATTCGACAACTATTTTATTTGCTGCTATAATATTCATTGCACTTTTTTCATTGAACTTTTTATTTTTATGTTCAAGTGCTTTTCCACCTTTAATATATTTTGCACTATTTCTATTGAACTTTTTATTCTTGTGTTCAAGTGCTTTTTCTTCTTTTCCATCTGCAGAATGGTTTACCTTTTTAAATTCAAGTTTCTTTACAAATCTTACATCTGTTATTGATGTTGCTTCCCACATGTGGAGGTGATCAATCTCCGTGTTAGCATTCAAGGTTTGCTTTTTACTTTCTTCTTTATGTGCTTTAATATTTTTGCTCATTGCTCTTGTTAATACATTTATATTTTTGGGTATCATTTCAATTAGTTGCTTTGAATCTAATTGAATCCTAGATAGTGCATCTGCATTCATATTCATTTTCCCTTGTTTAAATATAATGTTGAAATTGTAATCCATTAAATCTATCCTAATCCTCGTCAGTTTTGAAGATGGATTCTTGTGTGTAAAAAGACTAACTAATGGTCTGTGATCAGTATATACCGTAAAATTTCGTCCATATAAGTATGGTCTGAAATAATTAATTCCCCAATGAATTGCAAGAAGTTCTTTCTCTATTACAGGCTCGTTTATTTCATGCTTGTTTAGAGTTTTACTAGCATAAGCTATTGGTTTATCATTTCCTACTTCTCCTTGTGACAAAACTGCTCCTAATGCATAATTAGAGGCATCTGTCGTTAATATAAAGTTTTTCGAGAAATCTGGGTAGCTGAAGATTGGTGGTGAAATTAACTTTGTTCTCAAACTTTCAAAAGATTTATCACATTCTTCCGACCAGCAGAATATTTGATTCTTCTTTAGTAAGTTATTAAGAGGTCTAGCTATTTCAGCAAAATCTTGTATAAACCTTCTATAATAATTGCACATGGCAACAAATCTTCGAACTTCATCTGAATTTCTAGGTTTCGGGTAATTTCGGATCACTTCATGTTTGCTTGGATCAGTGCATACACCTTGCGCTGTTATTAAATGTCCAAGATATACAACTTCTGGTTGTAAAAAATTACATTTTTCAGGGTTTAATTTAAGATTATGTTCTTGTAGTCTACTAAATACTTTTATTAGATTTTCATTGTGATTTTTTAAATTTGAACCGAATATTATTATGTCATCTACATATAAAAATGCGGACGAATCCAAACCAGTTAATGCTAAGGTTAGCATTCTTTGAAAACTATTAGTTGAAATTTTTAAGCCAAAAGGTAATCTTTTAAAATGAAAATGACCTGTATTGGTTGAAAATGCAGTTAAATGTTTCGATTTATTGTTAAGTGGAATCTGATGAAAACTACTAGTCATATCAAGTGTAGAAAAATATTTCGCTTCACCTAATTTATCTAGAACGTCTTCTAAACGAGTTAGTGGAAATTTATCATCTACTACTTTTTTATTAAGTTGTCTGAAATCAATTACTAGTCTCCATTTCTCTTCTCCATCTTTATTCTTTTTTGGAACTAATAAGATTGGTGAATTATAAGGACTTGTTGATGGTTCTACTATGTCTTCTTTTAGTAATTTATCTACTTGTTTATTCACTTCTTGTAATTGCGTATTCGGAGTTCTGTAATTTTTTATGTAAACTGGTGTTTTGTCTGTAGTTGATATATGCTGCTCATAAAAATTATTAATTGTTAGAGTTTCTCCTTCTAAATGAAATATTTCCTGGAAGTCTTCACAAATGTTTAATATCGAATTTTCTGCTTTTTGATCTAAACATGGGAGTTTCAATAAATTCTTTATTCTATCAAATCTATTAGCGTATAGGGACGCTCTGTTATAATTTAATATGTTATAATCTTCTAATTTTTTTATTTCTATTTTTGCATTTTTTATGACTACTGGTGTTTCTCTTGTATTTAATATTCGAATGTGTTTTATACCTATTCCTGGTATTACGGAGTTAGCTATAAATACTCCTTTCATTATCTCTTTACCACAAATTATACTATCTTCATTTATATCTAATTTTATAGGTTGAACTACTTCTGCTCTAGGGGGCAGTGTTATATATGCCAGATTTTTTGTATTTATATTTATAGGTAAGATTATTTCATCTTCCTGATAAGGCATCGTTAATGTACATGTTTCATAATCTATCTTGCAGTTATGCTTTAATAAGAAATCTCTACCTAATATGCCGTCAGTTGGCAGATTTATATTGGGTTTAACGATATTGAATTCATGAGATATACTTTTCTCATCTAAAAATAATTTTGTTTTTAGTAATTTTTCTGTAGATATTCTACTATTACAAATGCCATTTAATTTGTAATTTTTTGTAGTATCTATTTTTAAATTTTTATTTTCTAATAAATCTCTCTTTAATATTGATGTTTCGGCGCCCGTATCTATTAGTAAAGTTATAAACTTATTGCTAATTGAAGTTTTTATTGTTATACAGTTAGAAATGTTTTTTTGCCGAAGTAAAATTTAATACTTTCGAACATTCTTGTTGATATTTGAGTTTATGTTCCCCGGGGTATTGTGACCGGGGGTGTTCCCGTTTTTTTGTTGAAAATTATTGAAATTTCTTGTTTGACTATTATAGTTGCTTCGTTGATTGCTGTACTTGTTTGGAAACCTCGTCGAGTTATTGTTTCCATGACTTCTGTCATTTCTTGATCTATATCCCTGGTTGTTTGATTTGTAGTTAAAGTTTCTGTATGCATTTTGCATCAGACTCTTGTTTTGTGTCTCAACATCTGTTGCAATCTGTATGGCTTCAGATAATGTCGATATCCTGGCTGCTATAACCACATTTCTTATCTTCTCATTCAACCCATTTGTGAATGTACTGAGGCCTAATTGATCTGTCATCTTTAGTATGACATCTCTATTCTCATCTCCTTGCTCTGAAATGTATATTTGATTAAGCATTGCTATTTGTTCTTCTATTTTTAAAGCATATTGAGCAATCATTTGTATGCCTTGACGCATTCTAGTAAGATTGTTTTGTATAATTAAGGGATTGGCTTTTGGTTTGTAAATTGTGTTTAGCTTCTTAATAAAATTCTTTATTGTGTCATCTTCCTCACTTGCAACCAATTTATTTTTAACTCGATCAGAAAGTTTAGTTGATCTTACAAAATTTAGTAGAATGGTTCTCTCTACTTCATCCTTCAACGAATCTGAGTAGAATCCCTGGTTGTTTGATTTGTAGTTAAAGTTTCTGTATGCATTTTGCATCAGACTCTTGTTTTGTGTCTCAACATCTGTTGCAATCTGTATGGCTTCAGATAATGTCGATATCCTGGCTGCTATAACCACATTTCTTATCTTCTCATTCAACCCATTTGTGAATGTACTGAGGCCTAATTGATCTGTCATCTTTAGTATGACATCTCTATTCTCATCTCCTTGCTCTGAAATGTATATTTGATTAAGCATTGCTATTTGTTCTTCTATTTTTAAAGCATATTGAGCAATCATTTGTATGCCTTGACGCATTCTAGTAAGATTGTTTTGTATAATTAAGGGATTGGCTTTTGGTTTGTAAATTGTGTTTAGCTTCTTAATAAAATTCTTTATTGTGTCATCTTCCTCACTTGCAACCAATTTATTTTTAACTCGATCAGAAAGTTTAGTTGATCTTACAAAATTTAGTAGAATGGTTCTCTCTACTTCATCCTTCAACGAATCTGAGTAGAATAGCAAAGTACCGGTAAAGTTAGATAAACTCTTTACATTTCCATTAA